CGACGCCGCCCGCAGCGCCAGCAAGGCGGTGCTGGGCGGCCGCGCGTCCCCCGGGCCCCCGACGCCGGCCACCCAGCCCAAACTCTGGTCGCTGGCCGAAATCGCCACCTCGGACCTCAAGAGCCAGAGCCTGGGCCAGGGCTGTCAGCCTGCGCCCCTCTCCTCGGCCACCCCCGCCTCGGCCCCGCACAGCGCTGCCTACTCGCCCTCCTCCCTCCTAGGGAGGCATATTTATTACACCTCACCTTTTTATAGCAATTATACAAACTATGGGAACTTTAACGCTCTGCAGAGCCAGGGAATCCTGAGATACAACTCCGCAGCAGTGACTTCAAACGAGGGACTAAGTCAGACTGTCCTAAACGCCAGCTCTGTCCACAAGCAGAGCAGTGACTCTTTGAAAACGATCACTAACCAGCTAGAGCAACATTACAGGCCCTCTAGTTATGACTCTAAGAAAGGTAGGTAGACTTTTTTTTTGCCGCTTTCTTCCCCTCTTCTCGCTCGCCCTCATTCCCCGACTCGTGGGAGTCCTTTATCCGCTGTAAATACCGAAACCTTCTCCGGAGAAACTAGGGAGCCACTGTCCCCGCCACGACCGCCGGGTGAAGATGGGATGTAGTGTAATCTGGGGATTAAAAACTGCACGCGGCTGTCGTATTCATACCTGCCTGTAAGAACAGAGAGAGGAAATGTAAAAGACGACTTTTAGATCAGTCTCACCGGCTGCAGAGTCAGCTCCTAGAAGTGATTTTTAAAAGGAAAACTACACACACATCCAGAGAGCACTTGGTGTAATTATTATTTTTTTTTCCCGACAAACTAGTTTTGCTCTCTTTGTTTCCTCTATTCTCACGGGTTTTTACAGCTTTGAGTTCAGATAATTGCTGACCTTGGACGTGACGTGAAGCGTGACATTTTAACTGGGTTTTAATTTTTTTTAATTATTTTTTTTTTTTTTCTGAAAATGTTTTGCGATGATATAATCGTCAGTTTATTCTAACAATGCACTCGATATACGTGCAATGCTGAAATATTGGCCGGCCTCCTAAACGACTCGGCTAATAATTGTGCTCGAGTGAGGGCTGGGACCTACACACCCTGTATAATCTGGTTAGCTGGCTGTGTCCTGTGACTAACTGACGGTTCTATTTTGACAGATCCCACTGAAGTCTGCACAGTAGGAGTACAACCATACCTATAGAAGTGCAATCACACAGCAATGCAAGTAAGTGAAAACATTTTCTATTACACTGATCGTTTGGCATCAGGTCTAAGACGCGTTGCACAGCTCTAGACTTGCTTAACGTTGATTTCTTGCTTCATTACTTAAGAGTCTGATTACGAAGTAAGACTGCTGGTTTTTTTAAAGCTCGCATTACGGCTTTTCTTCCTCGGGTTTGTCTTAATTTTAAAGTCAGGTTAGACAGTTCCCTCACCTCGCATCCTCTTCCCTTGTGTAAGGACTAAGCCGTAAGGACTATTTGAATGCTACGGAGGGAAAGCTTGAGGAAAAAAATATCTTTGAAGGTTGTTTAAAAACAAAGTGCTTGTGCTCACGTGGCAGTGCTAAAATGGTACATTTGGAGTGAGGTTTCACGCAGTGACCGTGTATTTCAGAGAAAAAGGGACAATTATTAGGGAGAGACGTGCATCTTAAGCAGAATGTTATCTGTGAATTGCCTCCTGCCTAGCTAGCAATCACACTCTTAATGCCTCCACTGTTCAGGGAAAGATAAACAATAAAAAAATCTCCTTTTCGGTATTTTTTCAACTAATCCTTTTGTTAGAAGAAATTAGAAGAGTAGGAATTTTGCCTTACTTCCTTTTTTCTTTCCGTTTAATGGTGTTAGAGTGTAATTGAAGGATTTTTGCATGATCTGGTTTTTTCCTTGGTCCACAGGTAGGTGTCACAATTGCTTTGAAAAAAGTCAGCAAGCCATCATCTCTCCCCGAGCTAATATATATAACAAATCTCTAAATCCGGATCACATCTTGTGCCACTGTATAAAAGAAGACCACAGAGCACTATTAAATCTTCAGACTCTAATTATTAAAAGAGAACTTTGTTGGACATATGTGAGTTTGCTGGTATAGTATAGTTTCCCCAATGTATGTGTGACTTTTGAAAACAGATCTGTTTTTCTCAGGATATCTTGAATTGATCACTTCATTGCCACGGTATATATTCGATAGGTGTGATAGGATTTACTGTAAAATTTATTTGTAAAAGATGTATACAGTAGAGATAATAAAGATGTGATTGGAGAACTTGAGTCCTTACAAAGTGGAAACAAATTTGATATTTATTTTTGTAACGATATAAAGCTTCTAGTAATTTATGCAAGTTGTATTGCAATGGAATCTGAACTTTTTGTAAATAAATTTTGCCTGGTTTTTATTTGAAACGTTGATGGTTATACAATCTTTGGTTGTTTAACAAGAATTCTTTACTAATTTATATCTCTAATTGTAAATAAAACAGACTAGTCTGCAACAATATGGTGTTTTTCGTTCATTTTCCCCCAAAATAATGACCTATTATTTAGAAAAATGACAAAAGTTGTAATTTCACTAGTAGAGTTCAGATCATAAAATAAGTAAGCAATTTAAATATGTTGCAAAGATATGCTTTGCATAAATTAATTCCTTCTGGGTTGCTCCGTTATACTTAAGCTTTAAATACACACATGTGTGCAAATACATATTTGTATATATGCATGCATATGCGTGGAGAGAATGATGTGAATATATGCATGTTTCTTATAAACTATGTTGGGTGTGAAATAGCTCTTTATTTGAGTTAACAGCCTTTAAATCCACTATTTCTAAGAAAAAAAAATATATATAATCAGCTATGGTTTATTTTTAATTTCTTTGTTTCTGCTTCTGGCTAAAATATGCAAAGGGGAAAAAAAAGATAAAAAGTCCAATTCATGGGGTTTTTTTAAATTTATTTTTCCTCTTTTTCTTTGTATCAGTAAACCATATCTTTACAGTCATATAGGAAATCCACTTTGATTTGGCTCATAAAATCAGCTACTTAATCATTTTAATTTTTAGTAAAATAATGGGAATCCTCATCTAATATAATTTCAGAAGAGAAACGAACAATCATTTATTTTCCCCAAAAGATAAATTGAGTGAATATAACTTACGGTTATAAAACAAGAATAATAGCTTCTTAGATTGCCCTTTAATCAATCATACACTTATTTTTCAAGAGGCTCATCTATTTTATTCCGTGATTAATAATGTTCCAGCGTGAGAGCATTATTAGATCCCAGCAGGGGAGATCCTGAATGCTTTTAGCTGCTTTGGAATGGTCAGTTGGGGTTCATTATGGTCTGATATTGAACAATTTATAAAATCTTGTCTAAACATCTGCCAACTCAGATAGGCTGATGTGTCTGAAGATGGGAAATTGCTGGACCAGTTGATATTGACAAACGGATCTCTCTCCAGTGGCTTTTTGTTCAGTGAAAATTAGTGGCCTCTTGCTCAGGTCTTGTTAGAAAGGGCATTTGAAAGTGATCTTAGATACTTCAGGCAGCAGCCTTGGGAATGTTAACTGAATAAAGAGCTGTGCTAGGCTGGAGTCAGGAAATATGTTGTGATTATATTAAACAGGGGGAAAGGAAGCTGTTTTTCTTAAATACATATATGCAATTCCCATGATCCATCTTCCCACCCCGCCCCCATCGCATTTTACCCCTATAAAGATGTCTAATTGACTGGGAAAGTGTTTGTGTTTCTCAGCTGATAGGGCAGATATCAATATTGAGAATCTGGAAAACTCTGGGATCCATTTTATGAAATATAAAACACTGAAGATCTTTGCAGCTGGAGGCCTACTCATCTTCTTACGTAGTTTGTAGAATGCTGCTTCTTCGCTCCTGCAACATCCTGTTTTCATTGAGGTAAAATGCAATTGTGTCTGTGTGCAGTGTGTAGTACAATTAGACAAACAGCTAAGAAGTAATTCATTTTTTTTCCCCTCCAGTTTAGCATATGGTGTAGATGCAAATATTTCCTATAATAACCCTCGACCATCTTTACTGTGCACTTTAGCAAGGCTTTATAGAGGGACTTCGTATGCCAGGGGAGGCGCCTGAACTTTCTCTTCCCCACTGTTGCTACTATTTCATCCACTCCCACTACCCACGTTTTACGTTCCAGGTCTCTGTTGGGCACAACGTGTACATTTCAATCAGTAAAAACCAAAAGCTGTGGCAGAGATTAAAAAAAGGCTAACGACATTCCTTTGATGTTTATACGCCCAAAGACTTATAAAAGATTTCCATAATTTACCCACCCGTGCTAGTATTTAGACCTGGATTTCTTTCTGGAAAGAAAAGTAGAAAGACTTGGAAAACTCGCTTTTAAGTATTCACTATGTATGTAAAGCCCAGTGGACTTCCCTCACCCTCTGAGAAATTCAAGAACGGCTCATGGATGCAGATGGGAGACACCCAAGTGATCTGGCAAATAAACCTCTTTATTTTTTTTCTCTTTTTTTTTTTTTTTAAACAACAATAAATTAATGGGCAAGAACTGCAAACTCAACGTAATTTGAGATGTAATAATCAAAATTGAAAGCAGGAGGAAAGTGTTGCCTTGCTAGATCGCTGGCACAAACAAAGCGTTTATTTCGGTAAAGCAAGAAAGAGGGATAAACGACAAAATCCAGCACTTTGTGTAGGATTGATTTCATAACAATGCTAATCAGTCCGCTGGGATTAAAATCTCACACCCCGTCTATATATACTCCTTTTCCATCATCCCCTGCCCTCGTTTGGAGCGAGAATGACAAACCCTCCCCTATTTGGGGCCAGAGGTTTCAATAGAGCTGATTTATTGAAATGCAGCCTTTAATCTCAGGTGGGATCCCGGAGGAATTGGCGCTGTCGTCAAATAGGAAGAGGGTCGCTTTCCACTTTGCACTTCCTGGGCTGTTTTTTTTTTTCCTCGCTGCCTGCAAATGTCAACATTTGTTCTCAATAAGAGAGTTATTGTTTCAGGAAAGCTTTCGGTAAAGCAAGAAAGAGGGATAAACGACAAAAATCCAGCACTTTGTGTAGGATTGATTTCATAACAATGCTAATCAGTCCGCTGGGATTAAAATCTCACACCCCGTCTATATATACTCCTTTTCCATCATCCCCTGCCCTCGTTTGGAGCGAGAATGACAAACCCTCCCCTATTTGGGGCCAGAGGTTTCAATAGAGCTGATTTATTGAAATGCAGCCTTTAATCTCAGGTGGGATCCCGGAGGAATTGGCGCTGTCGTCAAATAGGAAGAGGGTCGCTTTCCACTTTGCACTTCCTGGGCTGTTTTTTTTTTTCCTCGCTGCCTGCAAATGTCAACATTTGTTCTCAATAAGAGAGTTATTGTTTCAGGAAAGCTGTTCACCAACTGGCTTCGAGAGCGGAAAAAAAAAAGCGTTGCCTACCTTTGTTTGCCTGGAGGCTGGGGGAAGGGATGGGGACGGAGGTAACATGCAGGCCAGGCCCACAGCGGACAGACAGATAGTCGGAAAGACAGACGTGGGAACTGCTCAGGCACAGCAGCTCTGGGCTGGAGGGGAACGGGCCCGGATAAGGGGAGAAGTTAATATAAAACGCGCTGGGCGCCTGCGTTTCTTTCCCCGTGCCGTTTGCATTTTAGCCACCGGTAACGCTTCTCCCCTCTAAGAGAGAGAGGGATTGCAGGGGGTGGAAACAAACAAACAAAAAGGCAACCAACAACAACAGAAAAAGAGGACTGCCTTCCCAAACGTCCACACGCCCAGGAGGTCTCCAGCTTTTGGGGTTGAAGGGTGATTTCCAGCCGAATAAACGATTTGCAAGGTGCACCGCCTGATTTAGCTGTACCTCGTGGTACCCACTTCCCTAACGGGCCGTTAATTACCTCCCCACCGTGGGGACCAGCAGCCCCACTGAGAGGAGATGGAGCAGCCCGGTACCGGGTCCGAGGAGGCCGGGGTGACCCGGCCCGGTCCGCTCCTTCGTGGCCACTCCGCGACTCCCCAGATCTCTCTCCACTCGAAGTTTCTACCTCCGTCACATATCTCACTTAAAGGAGGTTCAGACTCACCGCGCCCCTGAGGAACGGTGGCAAGGACGTGTTTAATACCGGGAGGATTTTATTGCTTCTCAACGTAAAAGAAAAAAAAAAAAAAGAAAAGAAAAAAAAAAAAAGAGGGGCGGGTGTAATTTACATGTAAGTCCATTCGTTGCCTTCTGCATTCAGACATTTTCCGGCTGCTTGGGCAAGCTTCTCACGATCCAGTTAGTCGAAAGAGCCTTTCCATCGTAGGAATTGAATAACGATGGTGAAAAATATTGTTATTAACAGTAATGCTGCTCATGAAGTAAAGTGAAATTCACCCCTTTGTTTTTAATCCACTAACTAATAACTCAAGTTTTGTTCCCGGCTTCTAAAGAAATAAAAATCAGGCAAAAAAAAAAAAAAAAAGTTTAGAAGTAAAGGGATCCGCAGTGAATATTCAAAGTGCCTATCCATCTAATCCCTGATTATTACTCGGCGGCTGGGAAGCAGTCTTTATTAAAACTAGAGAGGGAAGGCGCGGTCAGCGGGGCACACGCTGGCAGAGAGGGAGCTCGGAGCTGCAGGCAGCGATCTGAGGGAGGCAGGAGGGATCTGCAGGAGCCTTTGATCTGGGAGTGCCCCGGCAGAGGTGACAGCCGGGCTCCTGCCATCTGGACCCGTGCCCGCCCCCCGCCCCAGCCGTGACTCACGAGGGAATGTCAACATTTCGCATCCAATCCGGGCCCAGCC